ATGTTAGAAAATCCGGTTCATTTTCTACCATACAAGTTAGAATATTCGAATCGAATTCTACCAGGTATGTGAGAAAATCCGGTCCGAAAGATTTTTCTACTCTAGCACGTTTGCTACGTCGGGGTTCGGGTTCTTCACCGGATCCCTCGCTAGTATTTTCCATAGCTACGACAAATGTTCGTTTTGACGTGCTAGGTCCTTCGTTGGACTTACATGGAAATACATCTTCAAAGAATGAGGCATTCCTTGATTCAATTATAGTGTTTTCATGTACATACGGATTATTCGAATCGTACACTAAAAACTGATAAGCACTACTATTTTGTGCATATCCAATAAAAATACAATCCACCGTTTTTGGACCTATTTTTATTTTCTTAGGTGTTGGTACAAGCACTTTTGCCAAACACCCCCACACTTTTAAATATTGATAGGGAGGCCGTCTGCCTTTTCACAACTCGTACGGAGTTTTATCATATTTTTTACGGGGAACCTTATTTAAAAGGTAATTGCTTGACAAGACTGCTTCGCCCCACATATTTTGTGGCAAGCCCGAACTTACTAGCATCGCGTTCATCATATCTTTCAATGTGCGATTCTTTCGTTCGGCAACACCATTTGATTGAGGTGAATAGGGTGCGGTACGTTCATGTACTATACCCACGCTCGCGCAAAAGTCACCAATTGGTGCTTCATAATCACCACCTCGATCACTTCTAACAATTTTAATCCGTCGATTAAGTTGGTTTTCCACTTCATTCTTATAAAGAATGAATTTATCGATTGCTTTGTGTTTATTTTTTAATAAATAAACATAGCTATAGCGAGTGCTATCATCGATAAAAGTAACAAAATATTTATTACCGCCACGTGTTTGTATTGATTTAAAATCACAAACGTCACTATGAATTAATTCAAGTGGCTCCGTTTTTCTTTCAACCGATTTGAAAGACGTTTTCGCTAGTTTTGCCTCTACACAAACTCCACATTTGTGATTCACATCAATTGTGAATTTAGGAATGTGTTCCATGTTAATTAATCTACGTATAGAATTAAAATTAACATGTCCTAGTCTACCATGCCACACATTGGAAGACTCAAGCAAGTAAGCAGAAGAGATTTTATTATTATTATTATTAATAGTCATTACATTGAGCTTAAACAGCCAATCAACTGCATACCCCTTCCCCACATACATTCCCGATTTGGACAAAACTAGCTTGTCCGACTCAAAGACCATGCGGAACCCATGCTTGTTCAACAAAGAGCCCGAGATCAAGTTTTTGCGTATCTCCGGGACGTACAACACATTGTTGAGAGTCATCTCCTTGCCCGAAGTCATCTTCAGGACCACCTTGCCCATGCCTTCAACCTCGGAATGAGCAGAATTCCCCATCCACACTTTCTCACCATTTGATGGCTCAAAGGTTGTGAATAGCTCCCGGTTAGAGTAAATGTGTCGGGTTGCACCGGTGTCCACGAACCACTCCTTGGAATTGGATCCAACGAGGTTGACTTCGGTAACCACAACCGCTAGGATGATGTCTTCATCCTTTTGCCCACCTTGCACCAAGTTGATTTGGGAGTCTTTCTTCTTCCGTGGTACCTTGCAATCCGAGGACTTGTGTTCATTCTTGTTGCAATTGAAGCATTTTCCATTAAATTTGGGTTTGGAAACGCCTCCCTTGGGACCAAGCTTGCTCTTCCCATTGTTTTTATTTTTGGAGCCTTTTGCATGCTCCACCACATTGGCCTTGGCGCCGCTAACGATTGGGAGTCTCCCATCATTCTTCCGATTATCCTCTTCAATCTGCAGACGGAGGATCAACTGTTCCAAGTTCATTTCCTTTCGCTTATGCTTAAGGTAGTTCTTGAAATCCTTCCAAGCCGGCGGCAATAAATGGATAATTGACGCCACTTGGAAAGACTCGCTAACTGTCATTGCTTCATCTCGAATTTCGTTGAAGATCATTTGCATTTCTTCAACTTGACTCAAGACCGTCTTCGAATCCACCATTTTAAAATCAAGGAATCGACCGACAACAAATTTCTTTGCACCGGCATCCTCGCTCTTATATTTGTGGTCCAAAGCATCCCATAGCTCCTTAGCCGTAGCTAATTTACTATACACGTCGTACAGAGCATCATGCAGCCCGTTCAACACGTAGTTTCAGCAAAGGAAGTCAGAATGCTTCCAAGCCTCAACCGCGTTGAAAGATTGCGCATCCACCTCACCCCCGATTACTACCGGCGCATCCTCGGTCAAGAAACGTGCAAGACCGAGAGTAGTGAGATAGAATAGCATCTTTTGCTGCCACCTCTTGAAGTTTAACCCATTAAACTTTTCGGGTTTCTCCACAGAGTTGCTCGGCACGGTCACCATAGGGATAGCCCTTTGGTTAACCAAAGCAGATGCACCGCGTTGTGAACCATTGTTCACCGGAGCTCCACTTTCAGAGTGATTATCGTTCAAACCGTTCAAAGCATTCTGCCCAACAACATTTTCATTTTCTTGAGAAGTCATTTTTCGTTTCTTACGTTATTCGAAAGCACAAAAAAACAAGTTCGTTCACCAAGGTGACAAAGTACAAGTTTTAAGATTGTTTACCGTAGTAGAACAATCACCGAATACGTTTTAAGATTGTATCCATATGATGCAAGCTCAACAAATATGTTTTAAGATTGTTGGGTGTGTTTCGAAAAACAAAGAAAATTAATTAATAAAGATTAAATAAATAAAATGACTTAAAGAAAAAACAAGAAATGAGATAAAGCAGAATAAGCCAAAGCTCGTGCTACGCACGATTTCCTTAAAACATATTCGTTGCCTCCCGGGGTGCTAGGAGCGTTGCAACGATCGTTTCCCAGGATACGATGACTTCGAACAATAGTTTAGCACTCAAACTAAAGTTCCAACGAACGTGAACAAAATACGTGAACGAAGTGTATGAAAAGGTTGTGTCTTTGCAAAGCACCTACTAGCCTTTTATAGGGGTGGATTAAGGTGTGTTAATGGCTGTTTCAGGGTTATGATCGTTGGACATCAATGTCCTAAACGTTGGGCATTGATTCCAGTCCTTAAACAACCCAAAACGTTCATATGAACGTTGGGACATCAATGGCAGCATATAGACGTTGGGCATTTATGTGCATGGAGCAAAAATTAAAGTAGGAACGTACCGGAAGAACAAAAATTAACGTTATCTTTAGAAGATAGATTTTCGGACGGCATTCGTGTGTGCAGGTCGCCCGCACACGCAAGTCGCGGTTTTTGTTCTTCGGTTTCGGGATTTGATTCGCACCCCCCCCCCCCCCCCCCCCCCCCGTTATCACCCATGATCCGTTTTGAGTGTACCATATATCGAATTGTAGCCCTTAGCAAGGACAATCCGAAACCACTTTGACCCGACCCAAATCGGAAGTGGACCCCACTCAAATAATTGCCCCAAAATGACCATTTAATACACTTTTAACACACTTTTTCCAACACGTATATCATCATTGAAATAGTATCAAGAATGTACTTTGATATCTATATGAAACCATTGGTGTAATCTTTATTCATCCCTTTTAAATTAAATACATGATTGATGATAATAATATTTCTAAAAGAATTGGAAATGTCAAAAGTATCACTCTAACACAAAGTAACGTGATTTGAGTTTTACCATGGATATCCTCTTGCCTCATTGATATTTTTTAATGAGTATATATTTATCATGAAAGAAACCATGATGATATATATAAAAGTATATATCAAGATTCTTATTGATGTGTTTCACTCAGGAGGAGTCCTTGCATACTTATTTATCATCAAGTATATTGGTGCGTTGTACTTTTTTTCCCTTTTGACCAAGGTTTATTTTTTTCCCATTGTGTTTCATTACTTGGTAAGGTTTTTAATGAGACAACATAATATGCATCATCCCACATTTTAATTTTGCAAAAGTAAAACAATATTGAAGCAAGAACATAATTACTATATCGCAGTCAAAAGTAATTGACACGAAGTTATTAGTGAATCATACTTCCTCTTCAATTTGACCGATGTTTATTTTTCCCATTAGGTTTTGTTCATTGGCAACATTTTAGCAAGTTAATAATTTTTACACTTATCACCTTATACTTGGCACACAGGGGGAGAATTAAAAGAAATATATTCATCTATTTGTGTGTCTTCGATATGGTGATTAACGTAAAAAGTATTGGAGTGCATAGACTTTCCAAATATCCTTTATTTATGTAAATATTAAGGATACATGTAGACATAAGAGGGAGTCTCCCCACATACACTATGCTACATTTTTTTCCTTTAAACAAGTTATATTTTTCCCACTAGGTTTTGTTACTTGGTAAGGTTTTCAATGCGTTATCAATACATGTAAACTTTAATGATCAAAGCAAGGATCAAATAAAGATAGACTCAATGTGTTATACTCTTCTTCTCCAATCAAGGTTATTTTTTCCCACAGGGTTTTTGTTACTTGACAGAGTTTTGACGAGGCAACATGACTAATATCAAATTCTATCTACAACTCAGCACAAGGAGGAGTGTTGAAGGAAATTATGTGTAGTGTGCTATCGTGTATATAGAATATGTATTAAGATCATTCTAAATAAACTCTATATTATGGGCCTGTTGACCCACACTTGTAAACCCTAATATATCCCTATTTATAGAGGTGTTTGGTAATGAAACTCTACGCTCAATTCTCCCTATAACATTAGAAAAAATCTCATAGGTTAACACTAGGGCTGGGCGCAGTCCGATCTGGTCCGGTCCAATATTTGGCCAAACCCGTACTCGTACCACGACTATTCAAACGGTTCGATTCAATTCAGTCTTAGACCTAAACCCGTTCGTACGATTCTATTTTCAAACGGGACGGTACCATGTCATACTAATACCAAACAATGCCAATTTTTTCAAGTGTTTAAGAGGATACCAAACCAATACCAAACAGTCTTGGTCCCGGTCCATGCCTAGTTACACTTGGTGAAGAGAATATGCACACATGTGTTCCTCTTAAGGATCCACAAATAATCTCTCATTCCATATTATTTTCCAAAAACATTTTAAAAGAAATATTCATGCTATTTAAAAGAACGAACATTTTTTCTGACACATTTTTCAGCAAAAAAGTGAATAAACAACTTCTATACTACCACTTGGTAGAGACACACATGGCAAATGATACAGTGTACAAAACAAGAAATAAATTTTGGGTTATGAGAGAATTTTTCATGATCTTTCAGAAATGAAAGAGCCTTGAGGCTGAGTTAGTGGAAACATTTTGAATCAGTGGTACATGATGAGCTTCATTGAGACTTGGAAGTCTTGTCCTTCCACCCCATCTGGCGTGCCCTCGACTCCCACATTGCAGTCACCTTCTTCTGTGCCAGTAGGGTCACATCGGCCTTTTCTCTGGCCTCCTCGCAAGTCTCCATCCCAGAATTGCACTTATCTGCTTCTTTCATGTACTGAGATGTCATCCTCTTTGCCTCTAACAGTGCAATGTCGGCTTTGTGCTGGTTTTCAGAGGCTTCAGCTTCTCGCGACTTTAATTCCTCAGACAAGAGCTCTGCGAAATTCTTCTCCGTGTCTTCACCCACCTCAGGATCATGCTTTCCACAATCTGTGAAATGTGGGGAAATGGAAAAATGGAGGGAAATTCTATCAAATGTCACCCATCACTTTGTTTTTCGACTTGAAAACGTGAAAATCTTATTAATATAAAATAAAATTCAACATATAAGTCCTCATGGCTATGGTTTTCTAAAACGACAAGCTCATAGACACAATGCTCATAACCAGCATACTGTTCTATAAGATCGAACTGCATCATCAGAAGCATTGGAAGAACTAAACTCAAATGCAATTGACAGTTAGAGCATGTTTGTGACACTTATAATCTTAAATTAATAAGAGGCATTTTATATTATAAGCTGTTCAAATGCAATTGACAGTTAGCTTATTATGATTTAAATTTTCATTCAGCTGTTTGTATTCACACATATTTTACCTAGCAAAACCTAATGTTTTGTTGCACTTGCACGGATTTATTTATTTTAAAACCACTGTTTATAAAATACAACCTAAACAAAAGCTGATATAAGTAATACGTAGTATAACCAATTGAAGATAGTGATCATAGTTGAAAATAATCCTGATCGATTGTATTAAACCAATTGTTGAAATAACATAAAATTTTCAGGTTTCACATAAGACGCTTAACACAAACACCAGCACAGTTTTTCTAACTCAAGTAAAATACTGAGGAAATATTGTGTTTGTGTCACTAACCTGAAAAGGAAGCATTACTTAATCCTGCAATGAAGAGAACAAAATTAATGTCAGGTTTTTTAGCTTAAAGGCGAAGAAACTTGAAATAAAAAAAATGACATCAATAAGAGGTTCAACGACCAATGTTCTATGATTTTCATGTTGGTTTTACAATACCAATCACGTAATGGACTAACAAATTAACAATAGCAAATCTGATGTCATCACAGTCTTATAATACTTTCATGCATATGAAATAATCTATAACAGTGAACGTTTTAGAGTTTTAATCTCATTATTCCTTCTTAAGAAGCCTGCAACAGGAAGGGAATCTGGTGCAAAGCATTGGGATTAAGTTTCACTTTCCTTCTTTTTTTCAAGAATATAGTGCTGAGGAATACGAGCATAGTACGACGAATTAGCATTATAAATTCAAGTTCACCGTCCCCACTAGTTGGGACTAAGGTACGGATAATGATGATGATGATGATGATGAGCCTCTTGGCATCTACCACAAAAAGAAATGCATCTAGGCTTTTGATACAGACCTCAACTTATGGTGATAGAAGTAATAGTAATAATAATGAATATTTTAATAAGGGGTAATAAGGAAGTGGGCTGGGCCAAATAATTGGTTAGATTGAGGAGAAGCCTCTTTGGAAAAGAATAAATAGTAGGATTAGAAAAGTGAGAGGCAGTCTGGAATTTGGGAAAATTTGGGATCTGGGAGAGATAGAGGCCCTCTCGAATTGGCTTCCGTTGTATTCCTCTTGTGTTCTTCGACATCAATAATATTTTTTACTCCAATTCTCTGTGATCATATCAATGGTATCAGAGCAGTGAAGATTGATCTACCTGTCAAAGACCTTCAACCGATCCAGGATGGAGAAGCGACTAGATAAGATAGAGAGCGACCTAGCGGAGGTGCGTACAGCGGTGGACAAGCTGCGCGACTTGCGCACATCTATAGAAGAGACGCACAACTTATTCTTTCAGAAATTTCGTCGGAAAACCAGAGGACGATCGACAACAAGTCGTCGACAATTTGAAGGCCATGGCTCTTCGTCATCGCTAGCTGATTCTATTCGATCGCAGGTTTCGTCTCAGTCGCAGGCAACTTCTCCTAAATCGTCAGCTTCGCAGAAAGCGGAAGTCTCCAGTTCGCAGTCACGAACGGCTATTCCTAGTTCACCATCGCAAACCATTTCTCCTTGTTCGCAGGTTCCTTCTAAGTCGTGAGCAGTTTCTTCCCCTTTGTCTACTTCGCAGAGAACAATATCTTTCCGTTCTCAGACTCTACCGCAAGCGGATTCTCACGCATCGCAAGCTGCACCGTTCCATTTGGAGTCCATTAATAAGCTGCCGCAGCCATCTGAAGGTATTATCTCACCGCGATCCAGAGAAATTGAAGAGAAGGAAATGACCGTTCAAAATGTTTCTAAAAGTGTTGATGATGCCCCTGGTGAAGTTCAATTTCAAATTGACACTGAAGTTCAATTTCAGATTAAAACTTCCACGCCTTATCCTGGCGATATTGGAATGTATCATATGGTAGAAGAGTTGATGCTGGCTGCTGATAGGTCACCGAACAAGTATCCTACCTACTCTCTATTGAGATCTCATTCCAACCCAACCAAGGAGATGCTTGAATCCTTGCCCCCAATTGCTGTAATTGTAGTAATGCTTGGTGAGGTACCAGGAGTTTCAGATGCCAGCATCCTGATTAGAGAAACAATTGCTTGTGTGCCACCATTGTCTGGGATCTTTAAAGCAACAGCTCGTGAACACATAAAATTTAGCTCTCGGTTTTAACCTTCCATATGAGAAGGCAATAGATGTAACTGCTTTACCGCATGATCTGCAATTGCTCTCTGGTGGTGATGTTACTGAAATTGGTGAAATAGGAGTACATGTTAGTACATGGGAGGAGTTGTTTATTCGAAACCTGAGGTCTATATATTTGATGATCCTTTAAGTGCAATGGATGCTCGTGTGGGCTGTCACGTTTTTGGAGAAGGCTGCATAGGGCTTTTGGTAGACCATGAGTTGAGCAACAACACATCTGCATTCAACACTTCGATAGTTTCAGAAGAAAGAACCTCTGAGGAGCCTCATGGAAGCAAGGGAGTACTGAAGGCTAATGAAAAGAAGGAAACTTTACCAGACATTATTTCTGCTGCAGAAAAACCTGGAATATTGAAGGATCAAGTACTGAAGATCCTAGTTCAGCAGTCAGCTAGGTACTGGGAAGGAAGGGACGCGAGAATGAAGCTGAATGGCATGGCTATTTTCTTACTCCCCACCTTGAGGACAAGGTGGTTGTCCAAAGGGGGAGTGATGATACGGACCTCAACTTATGGCGATAGAAGTAATAGAAATAATAATGAATATTTTAATAAGGGGTAATAAGCAAGTGGGCTGGGCCAAATAATTAGTTAGATTGAGTAGAAGCCTCTTTGGAAAAGAATAAATAGTAGCATTAGCAAAGTGAGAGGCAGTCTGGAATTTGGGAAAATTTGGGATCTGGGAGAGATAGGGCCCTCTCGAATTGGTTTCCGTTGTATTCTTCTTGTGTTCTTCGACATCAATAATATTTTTTACTCCAATTCTCTGTGATAGTTCAATGGTATCAATAGTTTTGAGTAATAAGAGCATATTACGATGAATTAGCATTATAAATTCAAGTTCACCGTCCCCACTAGTTGGGACTAAGGTACGGATAATGATGATGATGATGATGATGATGATGATGAGCCTCTTGGCATCTACCACAAAAAGAAATGCATCTAGGCTTTGAACCTGATCACATATAGCTTATGCACAAGTAGCCAATTGGTGGGGGGCATCTAGGCTTCTTGTGCAAATCTTTCATTTCCTGGTAAATGTATACCTTTAAGTTCTTTCAATAGGAGACATGAATACCGTCATGAAGGAGAGGCATCTAGGCTTTCAAACTTGATGGTTCATGATATCTTTGGTTTTCTTTTTCATTTTTAAATTCTTTATTTTATTCCTAACTGGTGGGGGTGATGAGGACATGTTAGGTATAGTCACACTGCTCACACATCATTTCAAGCTAACGATATTGAGTTAAACCAAAGACAAGGGAAGGAGTACTTTTGAAGTTACACGCGCCAAAGTGGAGGATTGAAATAAACTTTTAAAATCTTTCTAAATTAAGAAGATCGAAAAATACAATGAAGACAATAAACTATATCAAAATACATTATTTCTAGTCTAAAACTAACAAATACAGATATATTAGTAGAATATAAATTAACCCCCCCCCCCCTCGAAATATTTTAACCAAACAAGCTCCTTACAGCCTAGTACAGATATATATAACCCAAAGGACAAAATCCATTTCTAGCATAGTAGCATTAGGCCTACATGTATTGGTTCATTAAATGTCAAGGCAAATCTCATAGAGCCATCCGAAAAGATTTTGTAGACGTATTGTGAAAAAGGGTTCCTATTATTATTATTAATTCCCATTATTAGTATGAGTTTACAATTATAATTTATCATTGGTAGTAGTAGATTTATATTATTTTCCATCATTTGCAATGGAGCCAAAGATTCATTATTTTTTGGCTTGAGATTATGATGGAATAAATCAAAATGGCTCACTAAACTGTCTGCGCTTCTTTGTTATGGAGCAGCAGTCGGTCCATGCAATTTTGGACGCGATTTTCACTGTGGGTCATCCGGAAACAGTCGCTCTGTGCTTTAGTACAGGGGTAAGACTGCGTACATCGACCCCCCCTTACCCCACCGTAGGTGGGAGCCTTTGCGGCACTGGGGTAAATGAAAATGATGAGTAGTAGATTTATATTAGTACAGCTATTTTTTTTTTGAGTTAATATTTCTAAAAGCAGTACTATTATAGGTTAGGTTGTTCTCATACTAGTGCACCAACACCTTTACTGATTTAAGTTCTTTTTCGTTTCATTTCCCAGTCATGCTCGTAAAATTACACTCTTTTTTAAATTGAAAAGACATTTGAGACTCTTTTCTAAGGAAACGACCATTATAATAACAAAGGAAGTTAACAAAAGAATGACATTGTCTGATTTATTAGTTTGAAAAGGAAGTTCTTACTAATGAAGTTCTCACACTTCCAATTTTGGCCAAGGATCTATTTTATGCTCAACTATGGTCTAAGTATCTATAATGAAGTACTAGTATATATTTTTACATAATAGTAGAAAACTACATTTTGATCAATCCACAGGAGCACTAAATATGCTCTATTAAGGGCAAGGCTGTGTATTATTATCATTATAGAAACCCACAATCACTGCACCTGGAATAATGGCATCTAAATGGAAAAATAAGCAAAACCCAAACTATTAGGAGCTGTTAAAAAGTGTATGTGTCCTCTCACTAAGCAAAGTGCTTACGACATTGATTTGAACTTCTAAAGTTCTATGAGCTCCATTAACAACTGTTTATACGCTATCTATTCAATACTTCAGCATTAAAGGAAAAGTGACCTGAAAACTCACTAGTGATTTCGTACCGGGGGGCGAAAAATAACTAAAAGGGGTACTGGAAAAATTCGTGAAAAGGAGAAAGACTGCTGCTTTACTCAACAGATGAACTAAAATTTACCAGGTAATGAAAGATTTGCACTGTATACACAAAAGCATTCATACCCAGATAGCTTAAGACAGATGAAATAGATGGATCTAAGCAGATACCTCCAAAAGAAGGGGATTTACCTTGAGGGATGGAGAGAAGGGGTAGAGAATTGCAGTCACAGGTACAAGGAGGACACGAGTAGTAGGAAGAAGAAGAACGGCTGACTGCTGCTAAGCCTTCCTTGAGGTGCCAATACAATGGCGGACCAAGAATATATCCCACCAAGCACACTCCCATAACCAAAAGCACCGCCATCACCACCCTCTGTCCACATCTCTGCTGGTTCACCCCCATCAGGGCCGGTCCTGAGAAAATGGGGACCCTGTGCAACAAAATTAGTTGGGCCTTTTTTCCATGACCGGATGGGTATTTCTTCGGAAACATAATTACTACCAAATACTCCGTACCAATTATTGAAATTATCCCCTAATATTGTACATGTTCTAAAAATTCAGGTTAAAATTTAATTTACATTTTAGGTGAAATAATTACTATCCTCCGTTCTGTTTTAATCGCAACATGTTGAAATTTACACTATTAACAGGCTCTACTTTGACTACATTTTACGCTATTATTTTATGAAAATTATTTTTTTAAAACATATTGTCCAATTCATCTCATTACAAATTTTCAAAATCTGATTTTTAATATTTTTTACTAATAGAATTAAGATATAATTACGGTCAAAACGTGTGTTGGCAAATGTGAAATGTTGACCGTTGCAACTAAAAGAGAATGAAGGGAGTATAATTTATAAACCTAAAGTTACTACTTAGTACTAAAGTTACTACTTAGTATTTAATTAATAACATACTTATACTAATTTCTTAAATCTTAATTGATTAATTGTTTAACACACTTACTCTCAAATCAATTACTTTATAAGTAATAAATTACTACAATAAATAAACAAATAACAACAAGGCAAGTAGGCATTTAGGCAACAGACTAAAATCAAAGAATCAAATCAAAGAATCAAAGAATCGGCCCTGTTTGCGAATCAAAGTACAAATAATCAGAGAAATCAGAAAATCATAGGGCTTACCGGCTTAGTTGCTTACAGGTTACTGCAGGTAGCGTGGACAGCGGACTGCCGGACTGCAGGGCGTCGTGCGGACGGTGCGGTCGTAGTCCTGGAGACTAGCGGCGGGGCGTCGCTTCGTGGTGGCAGGCTAGATCCTGGAGGTGGCTAGCGGCGGTCGTCAACTCGTCGGCGCTTTCAGGCTTCAGCTTTCTCTTCGTTCGTTCTGTATTTCCTTCGGTCTTCCGCACTTCGCAGCCTTCGTTCGTTCTATTTCCTTAGCAGTTCAAAGCTTCGGACTTGGGTCGAGTAATACTACTGTTAAATTTTTTAATTGGGCCTTCAAAAATTCCGGGTCCTGGGCGAATGAGCTGGGTGCACCTGTCCTGGGCCAGCCCTTTGGATTGTGCTATTAAGCGATAGCCTATTACCCCCACCTTTTTTTGGCAAAGTGGAAATTACCCATACGGACTACTTTTGGGTACTAGATATCGTTTATGTCTCTACTCTTTTTTCTTTTCATATTTAACTTTTGTATTTTCAATAATGTTTTATTTATTTCACTTTTAACTAATCTAGCTATTCTTATACGAGAGAGGCACAAAGAGAGTCGCTAGAAGACTGCCTAGAGAGCGAGGTCGCGCGAAGTGGAGATCGCCCAAGTGGAGACTTGCGGCGCTGGAGAAAGTGAGGAACGAGCTGTGAGCGGCAGCTCTGCGAAGCGGCGGGCAGCGCTATGACAAAGGCAGCGGAGTTCATATTCAAAACTATTCGCCCGTCGCCGTTGAGTCGGTCCGCACCTGGGTTGCGAGTCAGGCCAAGTTCTTCATTCGACATCTGTAATTCCAGATCTGTTTTCCATTTCCACATAGATTTTCCGTTTGTTTTTGCAGAAATTAAATTCTATTTTTTTGGAATTCCTTTTGGCTGAATTCTGAAATTGTGAATAAAAAAACTTATAGGTGGCACCAGAGGATGCAATTAGCGTCAATCTCTGTTGGTTGGAGCGATTCTCATTAAGGTTGACAATTCTTTTGATGTATTGTTTTAATTTTTTAAAAGTATTTATTTCATATACTGCTAAATGATGTCATTTGGCTGTTTAGAATAATAATTGTTTGGCTGTTTGCACATTTGCGGCATTTAAGTTGAGGTCTTTGTGAATGCAAGAGCTATATGAGTGATGGAGTATATGGCCCGGGAACACCCAGCCCACAGACTCCTACTACTCCAGTGAAGGCCCAACAGGCCCAGAAGGCCCAACAGGCCCAAATCACGGCGCCCAGAGCACCAAGCAGCCCGCAATACGCACCAGGGGTGCCTTCGGCCCCCTGGCCGAAGGCTCCAAACTATCACAGCGTGGATATTTCGAACAAACAGAGGGACTGGGAGAAAACGGCGAAAATAGTAGCCCTCGGCACTCAGGGGTCCTCGGCACTAGGAGCCCTCGGCTAGTCCTCTGCAGCCGAGGGCACCCCTCCCGACATGATATCCGCGTCACATGCGTACAGATCACCGTACCCTGCACAGACGTCCCATCCAACAGTCGCATTAAATGCGGCCACATGCGGCTGCCAGCGCCAACCAGTTGAGGCGACCTCTCGGCCAATGGGCGCTTGACACGTGTCCCTGTCCGGCATTTATTGCTACTATAAATAGCACCCCATTTCCCCATTTGTAACCACGCTGAAAACACTCCACACTCATAATATACTTTCTCTCTCTACATTTATTTGCTCTGACTTCTCTCTTGTTACTCCCCGTAATAACCCCTCGGATAAGATACCCCTCGGGTACACTATCCATCATTTGGTGCTCTCGTTGAGAGGTCGAACAATCGAGTAAGAAACCCTCCCCCTTCGCCAAACACTAGCCCTCTACCAAAATGGTGAGAACTACACGTGCCAACTCCAAAAACGTGGAAGACAAGAACCTGGCCCTCGGCGACGTCAACGCCCCCGAAGCCTCTCACGGGGCTCCCGAGGGCGGTGTCATCGCTGGGTTGGAACAGGCGGCTGTCGACCTACGCCTTCAGATCCAACAGAATGCCCCCGATGCCCGCCTCGGCATCGAGGCCAAGAAGAAAAACCGGAGCGACGACCAAGTCAGCCTTCCGGTTCTCACCATCGACGTTCAATCGGCGCTCTCCGCCTTCATCCACACTCACTCAGAACCCAGGTGCCTTCGGCACCCTGGCTCCGGCTCAACCCCAGGTTGGGGAGAACATCGTACTTCCCCTCTGCCACACCCCTTCGGAAACCCCATCCCTCGGGTTAGGAATGACGAAGGGGTAGTGGCCCAAGATACGGCCTCCCAGGAAGTTCAGTCCCGGGACCGCCACAATGACAACAGAGAAAGGCCCCGCACTTCCGCCCTTAACCGGCTCGGAGGAGGGCAGGACCGCCGAGGGGTCCAAGACCGCCTCGGAGGGAAAGCACTCCATAGGCCCCAGGAGAGCGGAGGGTCTGTCTCGAGGGCAGACGAGGAGCGTCCCCCTCGGGACAAAGGCAAGGCACCCCTTCATACCGACGATGCTCGCCACCAAATCAATCAGGCCCACTCGGCCCGGGTTCGTTCGCAGGGGGCGGAGACCCTCCCGAAGGATCCCCGGGACGAAATTATTGCGGCCCTCCAACGCCGGCTTGATGAAATGGAGGCCAACAAAGCTCACGCCACCACCTCCACCCCTCATTCAGATCTCAAATACGAGGCCATGATGGCCAAAATGGAGGAATTACAGAAGAAGGTGGCCGAAGGCTCCGGGGAACCCGTCATCCAGCTCCGGACCCGGACACCATTTACCCCAAGGGTACTGGCGGCCCGGATCCCGGAAAAATACCGAGGGCAACACATACAGCCCTACAACGGGAAGACGGATCCCCAGGAACACTACAGCAAATATCAGAACAGCATGATGATGGTAGGGGCGTCGGACGAATATTTGTGTCGTTGGTTCCTCTCCACCTTAGAGGGGCCGGCATACGAATGGTTCAACCGGTTGCCCGAGGGCTGCATTGATTCGTGGCAAGAACTCGCCCAACGATTCTTGACACAATTTGCTGGGAGGCGTCGCACGAGGAAGCACTTCTCCCACCTCCTAACCATACGCCAGAAGAGGGATGAGACCCTTCGGGACTTCCTGGAGCGCTGGAGGACGGAGGCCGATAAAGTCGACGGTGCTGACGACGGGACCCTCCTGGCCCTCCTACAAACCGTCCTTCGCACCGGTAACTTTTCAAGGAGCCTCATCATTGAACCCCCCCCCCCCCCCCCCCGCGACTACATAAGGGCCCTACAGCGGGGGGACCGATACGCTGAGGCCGAGGAGGTGGAGAAATACCACCAGCATCCAGATCAGCAGCCCCCGAGGGCTGACAACAAGAATAATCGGGGGCCGGGGGCTCCTCCAAATCACCCAAAGGCTTCAGGACCCTCTGATGACCGCCCTTGGCAAGGCCAAGCCAAGCCCGGGGGAGGTTATAAGAGCAGCCCCAAGACTTGGGCACATCCCATTCTCCTGGACCGCCCCCGGACACCATTGACGCACCCCGTCAGCATCATCCTTGATTTTGCCGAGGAGAGGGGCCTCGTTGAGCGCGATTCTCGCGCACCCCCGGAGGTACATGCTATCAACCCTCAGTTCCCCTACTGTCGTTTCCATCGGCATCAGGGGCACAGAACCGATGAGTGCCATCAGCTAAAGACGGCCATCGAGAGATTGATACAAGCTTGGCACCTGTCCCAATTTATCCAGAGCCCTCGGCAGGAAGGACCTTCTCATCAGGGACCTCCCCGAGGGCACCACACGAAGGTAAACGCTTGGGTGAACCCGAACACCATCCCCCTCGGCAAGAAGAGGGAGATCGGAAACTTGGAGGAGGAAGAGGAGGAGTACCCCCACTACCAGGAGAAAAAACGCCACATCCTCATGATCACCGGCGGCAATACAGGAGGCAATTCCACCAGCCAGCGGAAGAAGTGAGCTCAATCGCTTTACGTGGGGGAAGTCACTCATATGCCCCCGGTAAAGCGACTGAGGGAGGAACCCATCACCTTCACCAACGCAGATCTCCCTACTACTTCTTCTCCTCACAGGGATGCGTTGGTGATTCGGACTGAAATAAACGACACCATCATTCACCGAACTTACATTGACACGGGCAGCTCCGTCAATGTAATGTACCTCAGCACCTTCAGAGAACTACATCTGGAGAGGGGGTCCCTTCGGCCCATTAAGACCCCTCTTGCCGGCTTCACCGGCGATACTATTGATTCCGAGGGGGTAATAACCCTCCCGGTGATCTTCGGCGACGGGCTCCATAGAGCCCAGCTCGAAGTGGAGTTCGTCGTCGTCAACATCGACTGCGCCCACAACATCATCCTCGGCCGGCCAGCCCTCGAGGACCTCGAGGCCATCATCTCCATGAGGCACCTCTGCCTCAAGTTTCCCGCCGAGGGGGGCATTGGTTACTCCCGGGGGAATCAGAAAATCGCCCGCGCCTGCTATCTTCAAGTCACTAAGAAGGTAAGTAGGACGGAATTCCGTGTTGACACCATCACCGGAACCATCGACCAAGAAGAAAAAAGGCCGAGGGCTGAACCAGCCGAGGACGTAGAAGATTTTACACTCGATCCGGCCAAGCCGGAGAGAGTCGTGAAGATCGGAGCCCAGCTCCCTAAAGATCTGAAGACCGGTATCACCGACGCCCTCCGCGCCTACTCCACTGTCTTTGCATGGGGGCCGGAGGACATGCCGGGAATCAGCCGAAGGGTCATCACCCACCGCCTCTCGGTGGACCCCTCGGCAAAAGCAGTACAACAACGAAGAAGACCCCTCTCCTCCGAAAGGAGGGAATTTGTGAAGAAGGAGGTCGCCATGCTCCTCTCTATTAAGCACATCAAGGAGGTGAAATATCCCTCATGGGTGGCAAACGTAGTTCTCGCACAGAAGCCTCCTACCTTCCGCATGTGCGTGGACTACACAGATCTCAACAAGGCGTGCCCTATGGACCCTTTTCCTTTGCCCAATATCGATCAACTTGTAGATGAAACCGCGGGGTGTGAAATCATGTCATTCCTCGACGCATTCCGCGGGTATCATCAGATCTTCATGCATGAGGAAGATGCCGAAAAGACAGCCTTCATGACTCTCGAGGACATCTTCTGCTACCTAGTAATGGCCTTCGGCCTAAAGAACTCAGGGGCCACTTACACCCGGATGGTGGCCCGAG